TAATTATGTTATTTATAATATTATGAAATAAGATTTATCTACTTAAAATTGAAATATGTGATTATATTATATATGTACAAATTTTTTTCCAAAAATTCTTAACTGGGTGGGATTGTTTATTCAAAATTATTTTCAAACTATACTGAAAGAGTGTGATATATTAATATCATATATAACTTTTCAGCTTGATAATTTTAATATAATAGCATACTTTACGTATAGCATGTCATATTAATTTCAAAATGGTAGTACATATATCTTTCTTTATGGCTTTACAAGAATCCATTTCGGAAAATTCTTGTCATTCTGTATTTAACCGTCTTTAATTTAATCTTGAGCATTGAATTTATCATATCGTACAGATAACTGTGATAAACTCACTACAACCATTCATACAATATTCAGATTGTTTAAAATACAAAATAATAATAATAAACTGACATTAACGGAAAGAATCCTTCGTTATAAGGAATTTGAAGAACTTGTGATGTTTGTATAGTTCTAGCTTTTTTAAATTCAGGGGAAGTTCGAGAGCTCGAAAAAGTCAAGGACGATATTTTAAGAACTATTGACTGTAAAATGTTTAGACAAAAGTTTATTTATATAAGATTCCTCAACTGTTTTCTTCTTTGAGTGAAGTTATCGTGAAAGAAAATAGTATAGTATGATCCGAAATTTTTCCAACTTTAATTTCATAGGGATCATATATTCTGTATTATATCATATACCACTATATTTGAGGTCTATGATAGAAAAATGTAGTAACTTAATATCAGTTTACTATGGATATTACAATGGAAAATTATCAAATAAAACGATAGAGAATATAAATTTTGTAAACATTCTAAAACCTATCTTAGAAAAATTATCGATTTTATTTAAAATTTCTGAGATTTACATAAATGTTCATAAGGAAAACGTGTTTCAAATTTGAACGAAATTGTTCAAAACATTTAGGCCCTAGAGGCATCTGCTTGAAGAAAATCTATTTGTCAGTCTGATTTAATATTTTTGAATCACTAAAATTTGAACTGCGATTTGGGCGAATTGATAATTTTTTCAAAATTTTGTGATAACAGAATAAAATTTACGAAATTTTTATCAAAGAAAGTCTGACTAAATTTGATAAATTGAAGATTAAGCAACTACAATTCGAAACTGAAAAGTTTAAATGCTGTAATTGAAAAACAATAGTTTTTAAAATTGGTTCACATACCTGACATTTATAACTTACGAAATATTCTTTTTCGAATTTCTCAAATAAATAAATAAATAAAATATATTTTTTGAGCTTGAATTTGAAAAAGAACTTTCAATATTTAATATTATTTTTATATCATTTTTAATGAAAAATAAGTTTGGGTAATGTTTATTTCACATATAAAGGGAAGCTAAATAAATTATATATCACTACTGTTCACATATTAGTAATAACGCTAAATATTTTAATCATTTCAGAAAATTTTAAAGGAGGAGAGAAGTTATTATAATAAAGTATAAAATTTATGAATACTAATAACTAATAACAAAATAAATTAATAAAACAAAACATTATAATAACTGAATACATTATGAGCATAACTATTTTATTCAAATCTAACGACTATATAAATTCTTACAATTTAGAAGTATATATTAAAGAAACTGGATAATCAAAGTTAAAATATGGGATACTATATTTCTAAAAAACTCATTTGGCAGTAATATTTATAATAATATAAAATTAAACTTTAAAAATATATATACTGTATAATAAAAGAAAAAACTAAAATGATAATTGAATGAAATGTTAAAAAACTTATTTATTATATATAATATATAAACTTTATAAAATAGTAATTAGCAATAAATTTAAAAACTGTGATTAAATTTTTAACTTGTATTCATATAATTTCCTAAAGCATTTTGCGTGAGTATTATTTAATCATTTAAATTTTACCATCATCACAATAAATTAAGTTAAATATATTAGTACATATTTGCAGAAATGCACAAATATTAATTATAAAGTTATGATTATAAAGAGAAAATTTTGAATTTTAATATACAAACAAACACATTATATTAATTCATTATCGACAATATGCATTTGTATATTAAATAGANATTTATTAAAATGATAATTGTGTTTTAAATATTTATAAATATAATATTATTTTAAATAAAGTTTATTAAAAGAAAGAATAAATGATTTATTCGTTAATTTCTTATTTATTTTTTGAGGGAGAAACGAACGGTTTGACATTTTTTAAATTATTTACTTGTTCCAGTTATTACTGTTATTTATTACATGACTTAAAATTCTTATTTCTTACTAAGTTTCTAACAATATTAAAAAAGTCAAATGTCTATTATGTAAGAGATTTAAAGTAAGTTAAAAATATAGTAATATATTTCTAATTCTAATTTCTTAATGTTTAAACACATACAACTTTTATTGTACTGTATATGCATGTATATGCACGTACTGTGTATGAATTTGCTTTAATATTGTATATGAGATATGACTTTAACAGTCATATTTTATTTTTCATCATTGTTTTAAACTGAATTCGGGAAATTGAAAGATAGATTGATTTACCGGAACAGAATACATAAAAGTCATTCTTCAAAAATTCTTTGCCTCATTTGATTTCCATTTCAATGCTTTTTCTCATCAGTTGAATATGTTTTGTAGCCTTTCTTAATATATATGACTTGCATAAATGTTCTAAAAATTGAATATGTAACATTTAGTTTTACACTAATGACAAAAGTTTAGATATTTTGTTTCCAAACTTAGAAGGCTTTGACAAAATTGTAAAATATCAAATTAATTAATTTTTTTATATTGAGGGATAATTAATATGTTCTCTTAATAACTTAAAACACGATAAAAAGAATATTGGTTATTTCTTTTGTACGGGTAGAAAGTTTTAAAATTTTGTCAATGTGTTAACCAAAGAGATTTTGCAGTGAAACTTTAATCCTTGATGGTGTGTGTGTGCGATCCATCACCGTCTGAGAAAGGATTAGACTTCCTACATCTAGAGATAACATTTGCAAATATCGTGGTCTGGAATAATGTCTGCAAGGAAAAAAAATAATAGTATAGTTCAACTATATAATTGTGTAAAATAATGCTACGTAATTTTTATAGACTATAATTTTTATAATTTATCTTCTTAACAGTTAATATATATTTTTAATTTGAAAAGTGTTTAATATTATAAAGTTAAAAACTCAATTAAATTAAACAAAATCAAAAACTTTTGTGTGTGTGTGTGTGTTTAAACAATGACAATTCAACTATGTGAATGTTAACGAGTTATATTAAAACGTCTTTAGGATGTTAATAATTTCTGTATCAAATTTAATATGATTACGCCTTAAAATACAATAGTATCTTTTAAATATTTTAAAACTGTACAGATTAAATATAAATATAACAAAAATTGAAGTAATCAACATCATTCATATTGTTTCTATTGTTTATTTAAAACTATTTATTAAGCTCATCACTACATTTGAACTCATATTACAATTAACCAGATGGATCGAATAATTTTAAATTTCTATATTTTCGATAATGACAATATATTTTTAAGTTAAATATCGATATCGTCGATCGATACAGCGAGTATGTCACTCAATTTTCTAGTTCAAAAATCAATAAAGTATAATGTATTGAATTAAATATCTATTTCTAGAAGTATTATTTATGATCAATGGTAGTTTAAAGCAAAATTTTAAAAGTATATATATATAATATTGTATGTCAATATTATATGATTTTGGTAAACGATAAAAATCACGTGATAGAATCTCGCCATTATTGTTGATCATATGATCGATGACTAAAAAAATAACTTGTAATGATAATATATGTTAGTGTATTGAAATAAATCAAATACTTAGAATCACCAAAGTAATTTAATGGCAAGGAGATTATTAATGTAAATTTTATTAATATTATTTTTATATTTGTGCAGAATTTCATATTAAATTAAATTTACCGAACTTATAAAATATAACCTTGTAATTGGATATTAAAAAATATTGTTATTAATATTAATAAATAATTTTTTTTCCAGCTTGAAAAATAATATTCTAATTTATTAAATAATGATGCAACTTGATTATTAAAATTTTCTTTTGCTTAAAAATCTTATTATTCGTGAAATATTCAGATCGATTTATTTTAATCTTTTACTTACAAGATTCTATTCCCAAGTTTAAATTAATAGAGCTAATATTTTTTGTATTAAAACAATATAAATCATTAATCTTATAAATAATTTTTTTAAATTGAAGATAAGTTTATAAAGTACCTTCTTAAAATTTTATTGCAGTTAGAAATTTTATTTTAAAAAATTGTTTTTATGTAAAACAGGAAAACAAATTAAAACGTTTATGCAAAATCATAAAAATGAATTTTCTTACGTTCTATTGTACATTAAAATTTTGGAAATATCCCAATTCTTACATACATATTTAATTTTCTTTGTTATAATAAGGCCATAAAACTTTATAGAATAATGTAATATAGTCGAGTAATTCATTTTAAATATTATTAAAATATAATATAATAATGAATAAATACTTTATTGATACATTAAGATTGAAAACTTTAAAAAATAAGCATAATTATATATTTATAATTGAAAGCGTATTCCTGCATTATTATTACTTTCCAGTTTAAATGAAATTTTTTGTTTTTAATTTTATTACAAAATATTTTTTTTCTTTAAAAAAAGCGAAATTTATTGAGCTTTAAAATATTTATGTCTATGATTTATACTCGTTTGTGTATGTGATGAATCTTCTTAAATTACGCAAAAATAAAATTATTAAATGTTTTTACTGGTCAAGTAAATTGGAAAATTGAATAGATGGGATGGCCCGCTAACTTACTGTTCGTATCTCGTTGTCTTGGGGATGGATGAGAGCGACAGCAGCGCCAAAGAAGTGATGTGTGCCTATGAGAAAGCAGCATGAGAGTGGTCGGCGGGAGACGAGAATGTCTTCCAAAGCAAGCAGTTGTGGTATCCACTAGCTGTACAATAGCGATGGCTGTGTGCTATATTCCAGCTGGACCATAGCTCCATTATAAACAGCTATGGTGACTGTTTTCGCCCTTTTCGCGATTTTTTATCTTATCACTACGGGATTTGTGACAACGTTACCTACAGTAGTCAAGATAGGTGAGTACCGTATGTTAGTATTTTGCGTTATGATTCCTTGAGGTGAAGTTTCAACAGGTGTGGTAACTGCATTGCTGTTTTTAACTGATTAATTGTTTATAAATATTATAAAAATATAAATTTTAAAATAACTCTCGGGTTTGATTTTTATTTTTCTTCTTTCTTTAATAGATTGCAATAGTATTAATAAAGATAATGCTCGTTAAAGTAAATTTTAAACAAGTTTTGATTTAAGACATATTGAGGGAT